AAGTGTAATTTTTGTAATTAACTACAACTTTAAGGTCGGGTTGGATCCGGTGCTTAAGCCTATAAGTTTAAGCATTTTCTTAAGTCATTCTCATTGGCTAATAGTGGATTAGGTAGTTAATAGTGGTTAGTAGTTAATTGTTAGTTGAGGGTAAATGGGGTATTATGCAAATATAATTAATACTAATAATTAATAATTTTATTTCTCTCTCTTCCGTAACCTTCTACATTACCCTCTCTCGTCACTATCATTAAAAAGAAATTCGGAATTAATTAAATTAAATTAAATATTAGTATTTAGTATTTAATAAATTCGGACTTAATGTTTTTTCTTTCTTAAAATGAAAATTAAAAATACCCGCTCTCTCTCACTTTGAGACAAATTGCAATGTAGTATTAACATTTTACAATGATATTATTAACTTTTATGAAATTAAAAATACCCGCTCTCTCTCACTTTGAGACAACTTGCAATGTAGCATTAACGTCTTACAATGATATTATTAACTTTTATGAAATTAAAAATACACGCTCTCTCTCATTTTGAGACAACTTGCAATGTAGTATTAACGTTTTGCAATGACATTATCAACATTTATGAAATAAATAGTTATTACTATATCTAATCATTATTAATACTTTCAATATACTTATCAATTTTTTACAATTACATTATTAATAATTTTGGATCAATTATTACTGTTTTACATTTTTGTCATCAATGCTTGTGAATGAATCATTAAAGTCATATAACATTGCCCCTAAACCTTCTCGCCGTCGGCGTTTTCCTTCCATCATTACAGCGCCGTGATTCTCGTCGGAAGGAGCAACTTCCCGGCGTCTTCCTCCCATCGTTGCAGTGACGCACACGAGGAGCCTACAGCTTCTCCATCCGCCTGCAGCGCCGCGAATCTCATCAAACCCGCAGCTTCTAAACTGCTTTCCTTCTGTTGTTTGTAGCATCGTGAATCTAGTTCAACTCGCAGCTTTGCAGCCTCTTCCCTTCCATTGTTTCAACGCCGCTAATCCCACCGGGAGGTGCAGCTTCAAAACGTCGGGCATTCCATCGTTGAAGCTTCCCGTCGACATCTTCTCAGTAGATTATACATCGTGGGTGTGGTTCTTAACCTAAGCGGATCTCTGTATTAACGTTTTGTGAAGTAATTATCAATGATTCATTGTATGGTTATTAAAGATTTTTTGTCGTGCTGTTGCATCTATGTGGGATTATTAATCTTTTCATGGTTGATTGTTAACTTTTTATAATAGATTGTTTATGTTTTACGTTGATAACGATTTGGTATATGTAGGCGCCAAGCATTGTTAACAATTTTTAATATAGGCATTGTTAATGAAATATATTGTGGTTATTAACGTTTCCATAATAATCAGTATCATAATTCGTATCACTATCAACGGGTTGCTATAAGCGTATCAATATTTGAGAAGGAATCATTAATAATATGTAGTGTGGTTGACGATCATTAATTTTGATAATTATCAATGATATTGCTTGCATTTCAAATGAAACACAACTTAATTATTAATGTTTTTGTACTATGATTATTAACCATACAAATTCAATCATTATAAATGATTTGCTTGTATTTTCAACGTGACACACATAAGTTATTAATGTTTTAGACTGTCGTTATCAATGCCTCGATGTCCATTATTAATGTTCGTTTGTTTATATTGGATAATATTGAGAAAGTATATTATCTGTTTCACATTTTCAAGTCAAGTTTATTAACGTCTTGAAAAATTATATTATTGATATTGTTATCGCTAGAAGGAATTATGAATGTTATGCACCATCATTATCAAACCGGATGGAAGAATTTGTATATGATATGCAAATTTATTGCACGTTTGAGAATTATGAATGTTATGCACCATCATTATCAAACCGGATGGAAGAATTTGTATATGATATGCAAATTTATTGCACGTTTGAGAAAGCATATTGTGGGGTTTTTGTTTATTGTTATCAACTATTATGAAGGAATTATCAATATTATTAACCAATATTATTCATGCTTTGATGGTAATTATCAATTATTCATGATGACATTGTTCGTGTTTAGAATATAATTGTTAATGATTTATGATTTCATTATTAGTGATAACATTTTCATCCCTTATGTTTTCATTACTAAAGTTTATTGATATCGTCCTCAAAATAATTATCATCAGTTTTCATCTATTCAATAGGACATTGTCAACGTTATTCAATAGGATATTGTTAATGGTACTTGTAAAAAAAATGCGAATAATCTATTTAGCGGTCATTGATAACCGAGAATAATTTACGTTGAAAAATGACGACATATAATTAATAATGAGCTTTTAATAATACTGAGATAATGAGTTTGTACCAATAATTAAAAAAAATCCTCCCCTGAAACCTGGGTACCACAAAAAAGGCTCATTAACAATCAATGAATCTTGAAGACAACTAAGGCTTCAATTGATGGCTGCGTTCCTTTGCTTCTTCATCACTTACATGATGCCTAACAGAAGCAAGGATCCCAAATTTCACGGATGCACTTCACCGAACGTACATAATCCGGCGGGCTGGTGGACGTTGCAGAAGACTGGTCGTCGCGATGACCAAAGAAAACCATGGTCGACGGAAACTCGACAACCACTACTCACACCAGTCCCCCGACGACGAGCCCATACGAAATCGATCAGCCGCCTAAACTGCAACCTCCGGGAGCAGGCCGATCAGCTTCCTCGTCGACGGTGAAGCGAAGACTCTGGCCGGAAAACGAAACGGTAGGCAGGCAGCCGCAGGAGAATCCAAACTCGCTGGAATAAAGGGATGCGGCATGCGGGTTAAAAAAACCTAACCCTTATTTGGATCCATTTTTTAAATAATTAAAATTCCCTAATTGTCCTTAACTAAAAATTAACTACGGCTAACTACAAACTAATTACTAACTACCTAAATTTCTATTAGCCAATAAGAAGAGTTTAAGCATCTTCTTAAACATATGGGCTTAAGCACCAGAACCCATGCCCTTTAAGGTCATTCTTCCAAGAGTGACACATGGCACTATTTGATGGTTTCTCATTTTATTTTCATTTTCAATATCCTTTTTCATTTCCTTCTCATTTATTTATATTCGTTTTCATTTCTTTTATTCTTATCTACCAAAAATTATGACGAAAAGAACTTCTTAATCCGTATTTGATTTTTCCCGTCTTATTTATTTGTTTTTCACTCGAGTTCGAATATGAACACAACTAAAAAATTATTTATCCTCCATGAAAAAAACATAAATGTCATCCGAACCAAAGACACAAGTTGCCATGTTGCTCCTTCATTTTTCACTCATTTCGTTAAATATTTATGACTTATTTTAGTTTTTATATAATTTTTTGTGAGGAAAAATAACTTCATTGTTCGTATTTGACTTTGCCCCCTTATTTATCTCTTTAGCGATTCGCTATATTCAAGCACACCCCCCAAAATGGGAGAATGGAGTCTCCATAATAGTACTAATCGAAGAACAAAAGAACCACATTAATGAAGTCTCAACAATTCAAATCAAGTTGCACAACCAAAAAGGATTTCAACTTAACTCTTTTGTTTGTTGTTCCCCAATCGATGCCGATTCATTAGCTAACGAGTCCACTTTTATTGTATACTACAAGTTATTCCAAAATGAGTTTTCTTAATTCTTATTCAGCTGCTTAGAAGTTCCTATTCGTGGAATCTACTACCATGATTGATTTTCTCACTTATTATTTTTTGCATCAATGAGAGTTGGGTCTGCGGGTTTTTTAGTTTATGTTTCTTACGTATTAGTTTATTCCCTCACAATATTTCACATTGCTCGCTTGACGCAAGACACAATGAGCTTACTTCTCTAGTTTGTTATATTAAAGGCTATTAACCCATTCAAAACCGCGGTAATCAATCACTATATTAGTTACTAGCTTATAACCCGACCCGTTCGCCGGAATGTTCATATTTGATTATTTATGTTTTTATGTTACGTTTAAGTCTATCGACCTGTTTTATTTCATTGACAATACTTTGATCGAAATGATACATGAAGAAAAATATATAGGCCGAACATTCGAAGAAACATCACAATCATTTAAGAATATGAAATATAAAATGTATCATTGACCCATTTTCATAGTGATTGTCAAGAAAGATAGAGTATAAAAGCTCACTGGAATTCGCAAACGACTCATAGAAATCAACCTCACAAACCTACATACATGGTTAAATGCTCTCATTTTAGGAAAAATATGCCACTAATAAAAAAGAAATGGAGTTGTTGATTCAAGTCAACCACATACTAACTCAGCTAAGAGGGGACCATCAACTTGAGAGCAAACGAAAAATTAGGGTTACCTCCAATATACTAATAGACTCGATCAAAGTAATAAGACACAAAATTAGACACTCGTTATCTATTAGTTCCATTAGTTTGAATAAAGAAAACAAACATGCTTCAGTAAATCAATCAATGATTCCTCGTTTTAAGATATAAATAAGTTGTGATAGCTGCAAAAACTATAAATCTAAAGATCCAATAGCCACCACTCTTTGTCGTACAACCAAATTCTTATCCACTCTATAGTCAATTTAAAGAGGCATATGTTTCGACAAAAATATTCAATTTCTAATCCTCCTTTTGCAACTCCATTTATTGAACTCAATCTTATTTGCCATGGATTGGTATCGGATTTGAAATCTTCTACTTACCCAGCTTCAATACCCAACAATAAAATCGTAGTGCCAAAAGATACCAAAAGATTGATTTTCAAAGACGACCTTGTAATGGAAAGTGAAAGGGGCGCAAACTATTGCACGATGTAGAGAATTTCGGAGGAAGTTAGAAAGAGATAAGAACAAAGTTAAAAAGCACAGAATTTATATTTAAATTGAAAAATACATATCGTAGACTTAGTGAGCTTGCTAATCATGATGGAGAGGTTCTCATATTCAGAGTTTAACTTCGTGTATGTTTTGTATTAAAAAATACAACAAATTTATTTAGGGGTCGTTTGGATGTTGGAATTGGTCCACATTCCCACATAATGATGTAATTGAGTTACAATCCCATGTTTGGCTGAGCCCAAAGCATATGGAAATTGGGTCGTGGGAATTTGGTTAAAATCCCATGATTGCAGTTATTGGAAATACTACACCCTCAGGCCGAAATTGCCAATTACCACGTTATTGGTCTTTTCATCCCCAAATTAACCCTCGTTCCTTCCTTCCTTCCTTTGCTCTCTCTCTCTCTTTCTTCCTCGCTTTCTCTCTCTCTTCCTCTTTCCTTCCTCTTTGGCAACAGCAGCAATAAAAAATGCCAGCAACAAGAAAATTCAGCTGTAGCAAAAAGCAATTAGCAATAGCAAAAGTAGTTAGCAGAAGCAACAACTAGTTATTCAATTTTGTCAGCATAGAGTTTTGTTTATCTCACGTACAAAATATAATGCTTGGATTGCTACTACCGTTATATTGAATTAATATTCATATTAAGCATGTTTTGTTGTAGTCAAAGTTGTCAAATAGGTTTAAGTCATTGAGCCGGTCAAGCAAAGGGTTTGAAGTTTAATCGTCTGATTAGGGTCCGGCCGGTTTGAGCAATTTTAGACGTTTTCTATATATATATGTACAAATAAGGTAGTCATTAAAGATTTAATGACTGAAATAAAATTTATCTTACTTATATCTATTAAAAATTTATTTTTTATAAAATAAATCTACCTAACCTTCATGACTCATCCACCATCTCCCTTCCTTCGTTACTCTTCCTCTCTTCCCCCTCTCTTCTTCTCCCTCTTTAAGGGTCAGACTGGGAGGCTTTTTGGAGGCTGTTTTGAAGCTCGATTAGGATCGGATCGGGTCCAACCGGGGGTTCGATAGGTGTTTAACAACCCTGGTTGTAGTTAGTTCGAAAAATTTGAGGATTGAGAATGAGTTGTGTAGAAAGGGTTGAAGGGTATTTTGGTACTTTGGAAGATTCCCATACAAGTAATTCCCACATCCCATAACTCTATCCAAACATGGAATTTTGGTAAATTTCCAATAGTCAATTCCAAGGTTTTCTATTATGTGAAAATTAAAGTCAATTCCTACGTTTTTAGATTTCCACATCCGAACGACCCCTTAGTGTAAATGGTTGTGATTGTTATCTTTGTTTGAAACAAGGTTGTCAACGGGTTGACCCGCCGGTCGACCCATTTTGATCCTGACCCGGTGAGAAAAACGGGTCATACGCACCCGCCGGGCCGACCGCTACAAGGTACCGGGTTGGAGGTCAAATTGTGTCATTTTTTTCTTTGGTTTGCGAAATGCGCCTATTTTCCGGTTTTTCTTTTCGCCCAACTCAATCTTTGGAATTCTAAGTTGAACATTTGAATATTTATGTTATATAAGTGTGTGTGAATTTTCACTATATGTTGGATTTAAGTACGATATGTTATTTTGGTGTTATATTATATGTTATAGTCATATGCTAGATAAAATTTGATATAATTTATGAGGATAAGTACAATATAATGACTTTTTCTATATTTTCGGGTCAAACCGGGCTAAAACGGTTGACCCATTAACCCTTACCCACTAACTCGACCGGGTCCGGGTCAACCCGCGGGTTGACAACCTTGGTTTGAAGAGATTTGAGTTCAATTCTTGATATTGACATTTTTTATATGAAAAAAATAATTAATTGTAAAGATCAAATTGTCCTTTCTACTTCTACTCTATTTGCATAAAGAGACTCGGGTTCAATTCTTAATATTAACATTTTTTATATGAAATAAATAATTAATTGTAAAGACCAAATTATCCTTTCTACTTCCACTCTCGTTGCAGGAAATTTGAAATGGAAAAAAGTAAACAAAACTCTACCATATATTATTGGAGGATTACAACATAAAATACCCGGCTCAACTTCCATCATAGGTCGGAAAGCATACGTACCTATATTTGATGTTGTATATCTGAGAAACATATTTTGTAGCTTGCCCTCCTCTGATGAACGCCTAGTTAGTTAATGTACACGGTGACGACAAGTATATTTTATCCATATTTGATGTTGTCTTTTCACTTTCAGTTTCTCCGTTATACAAGATCCATCTAGCGGAAACCCACCTGCTTTTGAAACACATTGAGCAACTATACGCATCCATGTCACCTGAATACCCAACCCAAACATTAGCAGGTGGCCTTCATCTTCACTCTGGTCAGAGTGTAACAGAACCAGCTCATTGGTCGTGTAACATGGACAGGTCGGGGATCTGCTGAGCCTGGAATGCAACTAACAGACAACATACCAAGCAGAGCTCGGTCTTTTTCACAAGGAGAAACGCAAGAGTTAAATCCTCATATTGAATGAAACCAGCCGGCAGTGTTTGATTACCTCATACCATCAGGAGGAGGAGCCTCAGATACAAACGAACTGCTTCGCTGTGTCGAAGTTGCTATCTGGAATTGAGAAACTGGCATCAAAAGCCCCAAACCAAGATCCTTTTCATAAGATCCAGAGCTTGAACATCCAGCAGAATGAAGCTCCATCGCTGATCCTCGCTGACTACTGTTCTCCAGCAAGACGTGGATCACACGGAACAGAAAGATGCTCAAACATCCATGTGTTCTAATCAATTGAACAGCCTAAACACAAAGACAAAACTGATTGATGTACATCAACATTAACCCCATGACACGAAAATCTCCTTTCACATGAGATGAAACACAGACCTCCAGCCCCATGGTAACAAAAACCTTCAGGACGCTAGGCCGCAGCTCTGATATAAGATTTAGAAAAACAAACCCAGACATTATGATAGAAGAACTAGTACATAAACAGAGTTTGCATAACCAAACATTCTACACAAACTTGAAAACAAAATATAGACCTTATGGCTTCACAAGGGACTTCCTATGCTTAACATACATTTCATCATCCCAACCAAAGTAGTGAAGTACTACTGCAACTGAAAGAATAATAGCTAAAACCCTACTCCCAGATAAGCTAAAGGCCAAGAGGGAGTGTCATGAGAAACAGCGTAAGCAGAATTCTTCAGACTTCTTCCTGGACCAACAACAACACGCGAGAAGAACCATGTACATAAAAGTAAACCCCCTATCCATTGTGCAAATCGCAGAGTAAACACTCTGCCTACGTAAGTCGGAAGAGACTAACATTAACATGGGTCTATTAACTAATTAGAGATTAATCACCCAGCGCCAAATGCTCTTCTGTAAGGAAACCCTCTTATACCTGCACTTGTCCTGATCCACCATCTACTGTATCCTCTATGATGTCCTTCACACGACAATCACCACCCAATGCAGTTACCTCTTCCTTGGCAGTTACCTTTTCTGGCCTCACGTTATCCCTCGGTTCTTCCTTGTTAGCCACTAATGCATCACACGCCAGAGGATCCCTACCCTCTTCACACTTGACCTCTTTCTTTTCAACAACTTCGTCACCAGACTCCAACATACAAATATCATTGGTCTCTGACTTAACATCTTCTCTACTATTTTCATTCACATTATTCTCATCATTAGAGCACTCTCTATGTCCATCGGCAAGCTCCATCTTCGGCATCTCCTTGTTATCAGCAGCACCATCTGACTCACCATGATTTTCGGACTCGTTCAAATCATTCTCGGAGACATTCTCCAAAATTTCTTCATTAACTTCCCTCATAACTCTACCACTCCTATTACCCTGCCCATGATGATGGTGCTGCCGCTCCAAAAACTGCATCCTCCTTCTCAAATCATCCAACTCCCTCTCCATCAAAAACATCCTCTCCTTCAAGGTCAAGTTCTCTTCCTCTAGATGTGCTATATGTGTGTCCTGATCATCTACCCTGTTCTCCAAAAGGTTGTTATAACTATACTCCCCTCCAGCATTACTAGGATATATCATCTCAAACCTACTCAAATCATGATCCAATCTTCTCTCAACCTCCACATGTTCCTCCACGTCACTCTCACTCGACCCACTACCTTCATCTTCCTCGTCATCCTCGTTCACCTCCACCTCGTGACCCGGCGACCTCAACCTAATCAAACCTTTCATCGACCCATACCCATCAACTCCCCATTCTTCCTTAGCCACATCACCAAGCACCTCCATCGGGTGAATTTCAATGTCCGGTGTTGGCAGTACAGCAGGTGTAACAGGACAAGGCGACACCAGCGACGCAATCCCACCAGACTTCTTAGCACGAATGATGAACGACGTGCTATTCCTAGGAGCGTAAGGAGCATAGCGATTGTTATACTTCTTCTTGTTATGGTGATAGTGCTTCTGCGTTTTCATCCTGTTCTGATTTTGCAGCTCGTTAAGACTGGGCGGAATGTAACTCGCTCCTCCAACACCACCTCCAGAAGAACCAGTCAAGCTACTGCCACCACCACTAATGTTGCTATTGTTGTTGTTGTTGTTGGATATGTTATTATTAGACATGGGTTTCCCCATCCTTCTGTCCTTATTCTTACCCTTCCAGTTGTTGTTACCCGTTCTGGGCTTTGACGGCGGCACAAAGTAACCAAACTTCCCAGGATGCAGCTGTTGCTGCTGCTGCGGCGGCCACGGTTTGTACCCTCTCTGCTGATTCTTCATCATCATCTGCTGGCTCATGACTTGGCCATGACTCAACATCTGCTGTGGCTGGTTGGTAGGGTTCATCATCTGTGGCTGAACCTGAACAGGGTTCATCAGCTGCCCCGTCTGCCCCATGCTCATCGCCATCACCGGTGGAGGAGGCGCCTGGCTCATAATCGGAGGGCCCGTCGGAAGCGGGTTCATCACCGGACCCGCCCGACCCGAACCACCGCCCATCATTTGCGGCTGATTCATCATCTGCTGCGCCTGATCATTCATTGAACCAGTACCAAAAACAAAAAAGAAACACACAGCAGAGAAATCAGATCCCGGCAACCAAACCCTAGAAACCTCGATTCCCCTAGGGTTTTTCAAGGGGATAAAGCAAAAGGAGAACCAGATCAGAAGGAGAAAAAAAGACGATTCAACTTTCAGAGAATTATTGTCCCGTCTACTGAATTTCGTTCAATTTCCAATTCAAATTCGCGGGGGTGGGAGACGAGATCTGATAATGGAATCGGAGAAGAAAGGGCTCCAAATCTACAATTTTGTCTGTTGAGATTAAAAAAAAAATGGGGAGCTTTTTGGTAAGCTTCGTTTGATAATTATATTCTTCTTTTCGTGACGCACGGATCTCGCGTTAGGGGTGGGGGGCCTTAAATAATAATGGAAATTGAAATTTAATTCGGAAAAGGAAACCTCACTGCTTCGCCGAACGTCTCATCGTACTCGGATGGGCGACGCGTGGACGGCTGAGATTGATCGTTGGTGGGCAGGGTTAGGCAATGATGACGGTGTAGCTGGCCTTTTTGGTTAATCGTCTTGGAGATGGATATGTCATATGTGTGTGGATCAGGTTCAAAAGGATTCTGTTTGGGCTGATGCCCAAATGCAAATTTGGACCAAGACGTGAAATTGGCTTTCTTGGTAAAGGAGTCCAGTTTTATGCGATTGAAAAAGAAGAAGAAAAAAGTCAAGTTTTAAGCTCGATACAGTGTGAAAATAACAAAGGCATTGTATTGGGCTGGGCTGGTGCACTTGAAGATGGAATGGGAAATAAAGGCCAAAAGAAGCCCACACTCGCGTCAGCCGTAGTCCAGTCTGAAGTTCAATTTTGAGAGTTATTGTCACACCCTGTACCTAGAATTTTAATGAATTTCCAAATTTACCCTCATTTAGTTATTATGATTAATTAATTAATTATTTAACTCTATCTAACCCTAAACTAGTGCGGCAACAGGTGGGGATTTCTCCCTCTCAATGCATGTGGATATATTTATATAAAAACTAAATCGGCCAAACCGTAGGAACTAGAACCCTAAACTAATAAATCCCAAAGCGGCAGCGCCGTCTTTCCTCCCTCTTCCCCCTTGCACGATTAAACACCACCGTAAACACAGCAAGGAACGAAGTCACTCGACTGAAAGGAGAGGAACGAATATAATCGGGGTTTTGAAGCTTTCATGGATAATCTCCTAGGGATTGAGTGATTGAATGAGAATTTTTTGAATTACTACATTAAATTTTGACTCAAAAAGTTCTCACCAGTTTGTTTGAGGCTTCTTCTATTTCGATTATTTCTATTTCGAATATGTTGTTCTATGGGTGGATTTGGCAGAGCACCCTTTCTTCAATTCAATTAAATGTTAATGTAAATGAACCATAACTATGAAGTCCTATTCCTAATAAATTAACCCCAAAATAACATATCCAAATTAGAAAAAAGCCAATAGAAGCGATAATTGCGGAATTTAAACCTTCCCCATTTTTATTTACTCGGATATGGAAATAAATCGCGAATATGGTCCAAGTAATAAAGGCCCAAGTTTCCTTTGGGTCCCAATTCAAATAGGACCTCCATGCTTCATTAGGCCAGACTGCTCCTAAAAGAATACCGATTGTTAAAAAGAGAAATCCGATACCAATAATACGAAAACCCCAATGATCTAATTGTTGAATCAATTGAACTTTGTAATAATTCCTAGAATAAAGAAAAGAACAGCAAACTCGGATTCGACAAGAATCTCATTTTTTGGTAGTACAAAGGGGGAATTGGCCCAAACACACCTGAGCAATCAAATGTTATCATCGGTTGAATCTCTCGTATCAGGAAGATCCTCTTGCACATCAGGTTTCAGCCGTGTCACTGAACTCTCCAGCAGATCCAAAGTGCTATCTCGATACAGAGGCCACAAAGCACATGACTTCCTTTATTGGCTCCTACTCTACCAGACGTTGGCTGGCTTCGCGAGACCTTTTCGATCTACACATGGCTAAGCAAACTCCCTCCCTTGGACGAGCACGAGGCTTAGTCAAGTAGAACCGCGGTAAGAACGGAACCGGGAAAAGTATAGAGAAAAGACAGTTCTTTTCTATTCTATTAGTATTCGATTAGTCTTAGTTAGTGATTCCGGCTCAGTGAATCCTTTCTTCCCTGATGAATTGTTGGCACCAGTCCTACATTTTGTCTCTGTGGACCGAGGAAAAAGGGGCTCACAATTTTACCCAGGAAGAAGTTTACAAGTCTCTCACGGCAATGGGACCGATGAAGGCGCCTGGAAAAGATGGGTTAAACCCATTGTTCTATCAGAAATGTTAGGCTTAGGAACGAAGTAGTGAGTTTTAATTAGAAAAGAGGAACGAAGTTGCTCGCATTTGAATTAGAACAAGAAGGAGAGAAAGAAGCTCGAAGAAAGTGAGAGGAATGAAAGCACGAATATTTGGAAAAAAAGATAGGAGATTTTCTGAGCACTCTGTAAAACGAAGAGATTTAAATAAAGTTTGAAAACCATCAAAGGAATGCCCGGAATCGCTAGTAATCGTTGGTCAGCCATACGGCGGTGAATTCGTTCCCGGGCCTTGTACACACCGCCCGTCACACTATGGGAGCCACCTCCCAGTTCCCATCACCGCTACCTCCTCCCTCGACCAGTAGCAAGCGAGCTCCCCCAACGGAAACGACAGTCGGCAAAGACGCAAGCCGGGAGCGACGCTGACGCCAAACACGCACCCGTTTCCTCCGTATGTTGTGTCCTCTGTTCGGCTGGCACAGTAGCTCTGGATCTTCCTCTCTCGTCCATAGGTAAGGATCATATAACCCTCACAGTCCCGAGAACAGTCAATCGCTAAACTAATCCATCCCGTGTTCATGAAGCGAAGTTTTGCCAGTGGGATTGTGGGGACTCGAACGACGATCGAAGGCGTAGAAACAACGTCCGGGAATCCTCAAATTGTTCTCTAAACTCGTGATTGTGGTAAGGAAACCCGATCCCTTGCTCTAAAATCGATGTTCACATGGTTAAATATGAGTTTGTTGCAATCTGGAAATTTGCGACAAAAATACAGTCTTTAGCCACCTGAAAATGATAGCGTTGCGAGAGGTTTGGCCTATCAGCCATCAGGATTCAGGAGCCCTGTCAGTCTTTTGGAACGGGAACTTTAGTGACTAGATTATTGACTGTCACTATAGGGGTTGTAGCTTTTACGGTTTAATTCTCTAGGTTAATAATTAGGTGATAATTATGTATGTAATCGGCTAAACATGTTGTTGGTAAATTTAGTTAATTAAGATAAGCATAGGTAATTTTATTAGTCCTTGGGTTATGATATTATTGATAAAATGAGTTAACGAGTGAATTAGAGATATAGTAATGATATGATGAATGAAGTTGATAAAATGATCCTTAAAGTAAGTTAATACGTTAAGATGATTAAGTTATTAGTTACTAAAATACTGTTTGTTCCGGGTAGAATATTATGCGATTTAAATTAAAAGAAAATTAACAAATCGAGGGAGCCACTGCAAATAACCCAAAACCCAACCGATCTGATCTCGATTTTCGTCATAGGTTCACCAAGGCAACTTACCCATCCCAGAGCACCGATCCTTTGAGTTGGTGGCCAGATCAAGTCAACTTTCTTGAGTTAATAGGGTGTGTTGGTTAAAGGGGCTAGTTAGTATTTCATCCTCAGTTACTTATTACGTGTCAAATTGTGTCTTTTTCTTGAATTAATTGAGTGCTAGTTCTGATATGTTTAAGTTCTGCATTTATGATTTGATGATTATGTGCATTCTTAAGTTCGTGTGTACGCATAGCATCAATTTCTCTACGGAGAAATCATATTAGTACGGAAATTATAAGTTTAGATCTCCTTCTGTTGGAGGAGATCATCCTTGACAAGCTTAGGTTGTCAAGCAAGTAAGCAAGCATATGTTGAATAACATCTCTCCATGGTGTGAGAGATTGATTCGACCGAGCAAGGATAAATCACCCAGATAATAAGTAAGAACAAGCAATAAAATGTTTAATCCTCGCTTAGCTAGCACGCACGTGGTACAGGATCCCCATTGTGTGGGTGTTTCGCCTTAGATAGGCGCATGATCCCCATTGTGTGGGTGTTTTGCCTTAGATAGGCACAGTTTACACGTTAAAGCTCCCCATTGTGAGGGTAGGGATGTAAAGATATGTTATGACATGTTTACCGGACGGTTGCGCTAGCTAAGTGGAGGGCGGGGCCCTATTATAAGATAAAACATGTAAGCAAGTAATAACGAAACCCCTTCCCTAATAAACTGTGCATTTTACTTATACGACCACCACATGTGCATGGCTCTACGTGTGTTTGAGGATGATTATAGGATTAGGACTTACCTCACGCCCGCATTCAGGAGCTGCAAGGAAGTGGGAGCAATCAGATCACTTGTCAGGAAGAAGCTGTTGCTCGAGATGTCATCTTCACAAGGGTTAGTGATTGCAGAAGATCCCAAGTGAACTCCTTCACTTATGTACTTCTATTAGTAGGCTTGAGACTGATGCTCATTTATGATTTATTAAGAGATATTTCCTACGATGACTTTGAAAGGGTACTTTAGATGTTCTTTCCATTTTGGGTATTTGATTACTCAAGGGTATTTTGGTAAAAGTAATGCTCGGTCGAGCTAGGGTGTTACATTTATTTTGTCCAGAACCATCTTAATGAAATTTTTGTTCACTTTTCAGTTGGTGTGGTATATACTGTTTAAGTTATTGAGTCTTGCCTGGAGCAATTTTATGATGTGATATGGGATGGAAATGAGAAATTTGGACTAAAATGAGTAAGGGTTGTTTGGATAAATTAATTTTCAATGTGGTATTTGCAGTGGCGGAGCCACATGTAGAGGAGAGGGGTCCTAGGACTCCACTTGAAAAAAAATGGGGCAACAAAACCCTTTAGATATGTAGGGTTTAGTATGATCTTTGTATTTAGGACCCCATACTTTTGTTTGTGTTAGCTCATCTAAGAACATCAATCAACTCAAAGTTCATTAGATACACAGACTAAAACGTTTTAAAATTTTAAAGGACCCCAATCAATTCTAAGTCTGGCTACGCCACTGGTTATTTGTAGAGTCAAATAACTTATTAATTTTTCATGTGGTATTTCAGTGTTATTTCAGTGGTAATTGGAATAAAGTATCTCTTTTGGTAGAACCATGCACTGATGCACATGTACGTAGTATTTGGCATAGGATATTTGGCAAAAACATAGGGATAAAACGAGTTATTTTGAAATAATACGGGGTGTGAGTTATTTCAAATAACGCATTTAAGTAAAATGCATACTGGGGAACAAGTTATTTTTGTCTAAATAACTCACT